TATGCTGTTCATGAGACTGAGGGCTGGGACCTACCCCTCCACACATGCACAAAATGCCCTTGCTTCCCACCTCCACTCCATATCCAGGCATTGAAGCAAGGAACGAGCATGCCTATAGCCAGAGCGTCTTTGTGTATGTGTTTTGGATGGGAACTCATAGCTCCAAGGCAGCATGTTTCATGATCTGACATATCTTTTTCATGTCTCCATCCAACTAGACCAACCAAACAAAGGCTAAAGACTAGCCTATCTCTTATCACCTTTCCCAAGAATAAGTTAGCCCACTATTATGAACATTTTTGCAAATTCATGTGGACTCAGCTCCAGGTTCCATAGATATTAAAAACAAAACAAACCATTCTAGGGTTCACTGAGTCACTTGGTAACAAGAGAAAATTTAAAATGTCTAAGTATGGGCTGGAGAGATGGCTCAGCAGTTAAGAGCACTGACTGCTCTTACAGAGTGGGTTCGAGTCCCAGCACCCACATGACAGCTAACAACCATCCTAACTCCCAGTTCCAGGGGATCCAATGCCTTCTTCTGACCTCTGTGGGCACTGCACAACGTGGGTACTCTTATATACATGCAGACAATACACTCATACACATAGAATAAAAATAAATAAAAATATTTACAAAAAAATAAAATAAAATGTCTAAGTAAAAATTCCTTAGTCCCAAGCTGCTGGGCCTTTTGAAGTCCTATAAATGCTAAGACTGATTTTGGGCTAATGGTTCAATGGTGGGATTTCAGGAAGTACTGAGGACCCCAACAGAGGTCAAGGGAGTCCACGCAGGATATGGGCAAGATGAATTCGAGATACACTTTACAGAATGTGAAGGAAAGTATCATATGAGAACTTCCACCCTCAGTCTGATCATACACAGTCTATTCATCCTGCATTTTGGAATTTGAAAAATAATTTTTATTTTTCTCCTTTTTTTTTTTGAGATAGAGTCTCAATATGTAGCTCAGGCTGACCTTGAACTTCTCATTCTCCTGCTTCAGCCTCCTGAGTAGGTGGATTACAGGTGTATGCCCCCATGCCCAGATGAAAAAGAATACTTCATTCAATAATTTTTTGGATTCAATATTTGTTCAGTGCTGATATGTTAGAGAGTCCCCTGTGGTGTCACCTCAGCTCTGCGATTTCCTCATGGGATGCCCACAGCTCACATCAAATTCCAGAGCTAAACTCGGCTTCACACATCACAGCCAATTTACACCAATATGTCATTGGCTCTACATAACTCAAACCTGGATCCGTGAGCAGAGACGGGCTCTCACTGGTGGAGAATGAAGCTATGTGTTATTTAAGTTCCTTTTCACTTAATGCATCAAACTAATATGCTGAAGTATTTCTGTATCACAAGGGACCGCTTGCTAGACGCTTGCATGGAGTAAGCGTTTAATGTTTACCGAGTGAATGTATAATAAAGTGGAATCGTTGAACACTTAAGTAAACATGGCTTATTAGAGGGAAGGCAGTGTGGTGTCGGTGAGGGGAAATCACGCCTCACTAATCTCCTTGAGTTCTTTGAGCAGATAAATAGGCATATGGAGAAGAGGGAACCACAGAACCCAGTTTAATTTGACTTTCAAAAACCTGTGAGAAAATCCCACTCTAACAACTGTTTTAAAAAATTGAGTCACTAAGGTTGTTTTATCATGAATATGAAATTGTCTTAAAGACCATAAACAAAGCTAAAGATAAGTACAGCCACCCCAGATGGAAAATTATCTCTAGGGTTTCCTAGAGATCTAATCTATGATGGGACTTTTAATGTGTTTGTGAAAGACCTTGCTGGGAAGTTCCTAGGGGATCTCCAGGTTCAGGTGGCACCGCCTCCTGGAGAGAACATCAAATTGATGGACATTCAAATATTCCATTTGGATTAGAAGAGACATTGTATTAGTTACTTTTCTCGTTGCCATTTTACCTGACACAAAGCAACTTAAGGGGGGAAGGATTTATTCTGACTCATGGTTTGAGGTAGAGCCCATCATAGCATAGAAATCCTGGCAATGGGAGTAGCTCCAGATATGGTGGCAGTGAGAGGCTGCTTGTTCACATCTTAGTAGACCAGAAACTGAGATAGAGATGTAACTGCTGAGGCCCACTCTCCAGGAACCCGCTTCCTTCACCTGGGTCCCATCTCCTAAAAGTTTCCACAGCCTTCCAGAACAGTACCACCAGCTGAGGACCAAGTGTTCCAGGAGCTCATGGGGGTATGTTTCACATTCAAACCCCGTAACAGTCATTATATGTTTAGACCATAAAGTGTAAAGAAATAGAAAATACAGTCTCTGGGCTTGAAGAAGTAATCATTGAGCTAGTGCAAGAACCAGAAGGCCCAGTGGGATCAACTACACAGATGAATGATGTAGGTAAGTGGGAGTGTAAGAATACAGAGAAGGGGAGGGTGGACATGGATGGAGGTAGGGAGGGCTTCCTGGAGGAGGCAGAGACTAGAGAGAGCCTTACAGGATAGCTAGTGTCTGCACAGGTGCAGAGGCGCTGCAGGGTTTTCTTGTTGAAAGGAGCGAATGAACGCTGAGCAGTTGTCTCACTGCTCTATTAGCTGCTTTCCTGGTTCTGCGGTAAAGCACTGTAACCAACAGTGACTTATGAAAGAGTTTATTTGGGTTTATTGTTCTAGAGGGATGAAAGTTCACCATGATAGGGAAGCACGGCGGCAGGAGCAGGAAGCAGAGAGCCCACACATCTTTAGCCACAAACAGGTAGCAGAGAGCAAACTGGAAGTGGGGCCAGCCTAGTCAAGTAGGTCATACATCCTCAGTTTCCAAAGGAGGAAAAAGGGGCTTCAAGAAGTTGAAGCTTACTCACGCTCACATTGCTGATAAGCACAAGCCCTGTTAGTACACTGCCTCTTATTACAGGAATTGTCAGTATGTGCAAAGGTATGTGGCAGGCTCTGCGAGCAGGTTAGGGAGGACCTAGAGCAGCTGAGCCAGCTAGAGTGACATCTTGAGATGGGGAACAGCTGAGAGATTAGGCTGGAGCATATGTACTGGCTCTGAGACATAGAGGCCCTTCAATCCCGTGCAAAGACCTCAAAGGCTGAAAGCTTAATGCCATGTTGAGTAGTAGAGGGAGGAAATGAAGAATTATAGTCTAGAATTTGGGGCCCAGAACCTAGACACTAGTTTGAGGGGGAGAGGTGGAAGACATTAAGAAAGGCAGAAAAAGGGTTTGGAGAAGACACTGACGAAGCTAAGGGCAACTCTATTTGATGACCTACAATAGAACAAATGCATTGAGTGTGACCTTCTTCAGAGCCGGCTCTGCTTCTCCTCCCTGCTGACATCCTGGGTATGATGGGAAGTCAGATAGAGATACACAGGTCTCACATCCATGTCACTGCTCAGGGTTCAGGCGGGCTCAGGAAACATGACAGGAACTCAAAGCTCCCTCACCATCTGCTTCAATGTGACTTGGTGGCCTGTGCCCTTTGACACATGTCCCTGTCTGCCTTAACTCACAGGCCTGGTTGAACCATCAGGCTTGATCTCCCAGGTCCCAGCAGGGCAGAACCCTCTAGCAATCAATTGTTGAATGGAGGAAGGCCGATACAGTTCAACAAGAGAACCTAGAGACTGCAGGAAGCTACTGGGATTCCTTTGGCCAGGTCGTCTGGTTCTTCCTTCTAGTGGTATGTGGGGTGTTGAATTGGTACTTGCCCTGGGGCTGGAAGGGGAGCATATCTTGGGTGAGTGGTCAATTACTCTGTTAAACCTTGTCATCCAGAAATGGCACTTGAGGCCACCTGTTAAATTAGTGAAGTAGAGAGAGCACTGGACCTGAAGTGGGAGATAACCTTTAAACCTCTGCTTCGACTTGAGTTAATCTGTGACCAGGCTGGCCACAGAACCTCTGTAGGCCTCAGTTTCCTTATTTGTGAAATGGACATGCTCATTGTGCCAATCTCATAGATTCTCATGATGACCAAAAATCTCCTCTGGATGGCTCAACCAGTACATAATGAAAGAGGACACTTATTTTTCAACTGTGTCCCAAACCCCACACAGCCTTAAATAAGTTTTTCCATCGGCACGCTGGATGATCCTCAACTTCTCCCTTCAGGACCTCCACATGCTGTGCTGCGCTGGTTCTTACTAGTCTGCCAACTTCACAAGACCATGAGCTCCTGGAGGGGAAGATGCTGTTTTCTCTATGTTTATAATTAGCATCCTTATAGTGCCTGGCCTATGGTAGGTGTGCACAGCTTTGCCAAATAACACAAAACTAATGCATGACCTCCTAGTGTTATAAGTGAAATTTGCTACACAAGTGTGGGGACTTGAGTTTGGATCCTCAGAACCCATGAAATGCTGGATACAACAGCACAAGTCTGTAATCCCAGTGCTTCTACAGCAAGATGGGGGAGGGGTGGAGGCAGGAGAATCCCTCGAAGTCACTGGTCAGCTAGCTTGTTATATACAGTAGCAGACCAGAGACTCGGCCTCAAACAAGGCAGAAGGTGAGGGCTGACACTGGGGTTATCTTCTGACCACATGCACACTGTAGCCTGTATACATTCACACTCACAGACATGAAGACACACACATGGGTGTGTGTTCACACACAGATTAAAAAGAAGGAAAAATGAAGTTTAAAACGACCTCAGGAAACATAGTTGACACAGTAGCTGCCCAAATTCTCACAAGCATCTGTTTATTAACTCACTTGAGACTCTTCCTAAGAGCCCACCTGAAGGTTGCTAACCTTTTCTGTCAGGAATCCTGTCTCCTCACTTTGGGGAAATGTGGGTAGCGCTGACTCCTGATATTTTCATCTATTCTTTGGGTAAATATCACCTTTGCAGCAGTTCTGAGCATCTCTCAAAAATTCACTGGAGAGCTGAGTTTCGAGTGGAGCAGACCTCCACCCCATAAGAGGCCCCACTGTACCCCTAAGTTCTTTCTTAGAATGACTCCTCCCCTCCATTCATCCAAACATAGAAAAAAAACTACATACTGTTCTGTTGGAAAAGTTGTTGAAGTTCTCAACCAACACCTGCTTGATCATGTCTGGCTCAGAAACGACAATATGCATCCGACGGCCAAGATAGTATCTAGGAGAGATAGAGCAAATCATTAAAAAAAATGTTGTTTTTACCCATTTCTTTTCCCCCAGAAAGAACTCACAGTGGTTTAAAATGAAAGATAAAAGATAGGCGGGAAGTTAAGACATGGAGATGAGGAAGCAGGAGCTCCAGTTGTGAGCAATGGAAGAGCCATGATAATGTGCCACCCGAGTTCTTTGCATCAACCTATGGACTGCCACTTGCTACCAGTCCTGGACACTTAGGTGGGATAAGACACAGTCCCCATCTCAAGTTGCTTATGGCCTAATAGGAAAGACAGATCTATAAATGTCATTGCACTAACAAGGGCTTGTGAGATCCAACAGAAAGACAGGGAAACTGCTGAAGTCAGTTCCTATGTTTTCCAAGTATGGAGAAACAGGTACTCTATTAAGAAAACCTTTAATTTTTTTTTTTTTGTGTGTGTGTGTGTGTGTGTGTGTGTGTGTGTGTGTGTGTACAGTGCCCTCGGAGGTGTGAAGTCCCCGGGAGGTGGAGTTACAGATGGTGGTGAGCCTCTTGACTAGGTGCTGGGAACTGAATCTGGGTCCTCTGCAATAGCAGTAGGCATTCTTAACCTCTGGGCCATCTCTCCAGTCCCCACAAGAAAACCTTTATACTGATTCTTGGGAAAAAAAAAGTCTAAAGCAAGTGAATAAACAGATGCCTGTGAGAAAGTGGGAATGATTAACCCTGTTGCAGAAAGGTCCAGCATCTGGTTCCCACATCTTTATATGAGGAAGCTCAGCGGATGCTCATGGCATTCTGGAAGAGGTGAACCTCGGCTGGTCACCTGCTGGTAGTGAAGTCTGGCCAGAGGAGGTGCTGACACACATGGCTCATCTTTAGGAAAGAACTGAGGACAAAAACCACCAAGACCCAGTCCCAGCCTCCAAGGGCCTCTTGGTCTGATAGGAGGGACAGGGAAGCAGTTAGCACACAGCAAGATGTTCTGCCTGGCATGAGTAACATTGGAGGAACACCTAGCTCAGTGCCTGGAGGAGAGAATGGAGACCTCCTAGAGATGCTTCCCAAACCAAGTTCTGAGGATGAGTGGGAGTTCGTCCAGGAAGGTGGATGACAGGAGGTGAAAGTAGGCTGGGCAGAGTCTGCTTTAGCACCTGGTCAGGGCTCTGTCTACTTGGGAAACACCTTGAGTGACAGGTGATAACTGTGAAAGCAAAGCTGAGTGATGATGGGGGCCACATCAGGCAGGCTTCTGATATGTGAAATGACACTGTCGTTGGTGTAATTCGCTGGCTGGCATAGCCTGTTCAGAGCAGTATGGACCAGATTTTTAAAAAATTTGTTTTGATGTATGTATTTTTGTTTTATGTGCATGAGTGTTTTGCCTGCAATATGTAAGTGCACTCGTGTACCAGAAGAGGGTGTCAGGTCCCCTGGAATTAGACTTATAGATGGCTGTTAGCGTTATATGGGTGCTAGGAATTGAACCCAGGTCCTCTGGAAGAGCAGCCAGTGCTCTTATCCACTGAGCCAGCTCTCCAGCCCCCATGGCAGCTGAGCTTACTCTGGCATTCTTCCTCAGAGCATTTCATAAGCCAAAATGATGCTCATTTTAAAATTCTTTTCCTTTCACTGACTAAGGGAAAACTAAGAGGAAAGGGGCTGGTGAGATGGCTTAATCACTAAAGTGCCTGCCATGTAAGCTTGAGGACCTGAGTTCACATCCCCAGGACCCATGTAAAAAAAAAAAAAAAAAAGCTGGGTGTGGCAGTGTCCTTTTATAACCCGAGGGTGAGGAGAGGCGCAGAGATAGATGGATTCCCAGAGTGCATTGGCCAGCCAGCTTCTGAGCCCCAGATTCAGTGAGAGGTCCTGTCTCAAAAAATAAAGTGGAGAGCTATTGAGGACAGCCAACATTGGCCTCTGGCCTCCACATGCAGGTGCACATATGTGCACCCAAATACACATATACACATGATGATGTACACATACACATACCCCTACACAAAATCATTTAAAAATTTTTTATTGAGTTTTTGTACATTTCATAAACAGTTCTTAATCAAATTTAGACCACTTTCCCCATCCATGCCCCACCTGCCAAGCCAGACTTCATGTATTCTGCCATACGTGTTAAGTCCTATCTAGTCAAGAATTTGTACCCAGATGTCTTTCGGTGCAAATTCATCCACCGGAGTCTAGTCAGCCTATCTAGAGATAGGAAGAAAGGTCTACTCTCCCTCACCCAACAGTAATCAGTCACCAACAGTCCCCAGACTAGGACCAGCAGGCCGCCCATTTCCCTCGCTCCACTCTGGGCCCTTGTTTGACTGAGTTGGCATGGGTTTTGTTCTTGATGCCACCATTGCTGCAAGTTCACATGTGCAAGATTCCAATGGCCTGAAAGCCTCTGTTTCCTTATGTTCAAGGACCAACCCTGGTTCTTACGATCTTTCCACTCCTTCTTCTGCACTGGTCCCTGAGCATGGGTGAATAAGGTTAGATATAAGAGTCCTATCCAGGGACACACACTCTGCAGTCTCTTATTCTCTAAAACTTGGCCAGTTGTGGCCTTCTGTGTGCATTGCACTCTGTTGTATAAGGAACGTTCACTGATGAGAGTTGAGGGATGCACTAGCTTTTCTCTCTACCCCTGTTCTGTGTTCCATGAATGTTAGGTGTAGAGGTTCCACTATAGATTGGTCACTTAGGGCTGGGCATCTCTTAGACATATATTCCCTGTGTGTGACTAGTGGAACTCTGCAGTAGCTTCCATCTGTTGCAAACAGAAGTGTCTTTGATGAGTGGTATACAGCATAATTGTCAGAGTCCTAGGTGGGCTGGTCTGTGACCCACACAATCGTTTTTTTTAGACCGGGCGTGGTGGCACATGACTTTAATCCCAGCACTTGGGAGGCAGAGGCAGGCAGATCTCTGTGAGGAGTTCAAGGCCAGCCTGGTCTGCATAGTGAGTTCCAGGCCAGCTGGGGCTACAGGGAGACCCTGTCTCAAAAAGACCAAAA